TTACCCTACATGAGATGAAAAGTCATTGAATGGGTTGCAGCAGAGGATTTTCGAAATATTACTTATGTTACAACACACTGATCACAATGTTGACAATATACTATGGACAGAAGAGAGACAACAGTTGTGGCAGAGAAAACAAAAATAGATGGTGATTTTTCTGACTGTCTCCTAGTCACTCCATTGGTGAAGAACAAATACGCCACCCTAAATAGTGTGAAATGGCTGAATGACACTGACCCTAGATGATGAGATTGGTGGCAGTTTATTACTCAAGCATACTGATGGCCTCGGAAAGGAAGATACCACACACCATACAGGGACACACAAGAACAGCTGGGAATACAGTGGGGCGGTAGAAAGCAGGCATTATAGTTACAAGAGGCTTGTATGTCCCCTAGGTTACATCTTGAGAATGTGATTGATTTGCTTGAATAATTTTGCAGGCTGGTAGGGAAGTAAGGATGCAACCCAGGTGGGGTGCAGCTGGCCTGGTTGATAGGGGAACAATGAGACAAGTTCCCACTGAGTATGGAGCACATCCAGCAAAAGTGGAGGAACTCACAGTTAAGACTTTGGGGCTCTGTGACGCTCAAGATTTCAAGGAAGCACATGATACTTGTCTTGGAGTGGAGTGATAGCCTGGGATAGATGTGGAGGTGGTAAAATTAGTGAGAAGTGAGTGGATGCTGAATGTATTTTGAAGGTAGAGCCAACAAGAATTGTAGACGAATTATGTGTAGAACTTGAAAAAGAGGAGTCAAGGATGACAGTAAGCTGGCTGACTATAGCAAATGGAAAGATAGAGCGTCAATTACTGAAATGAAAAAAAAAACTATAGTGGCAGCAGGTTATGGTATATCCATACACTTGAATGTTATGTAGTTTTAACAAACATAAACTCTTTGTGTACTCATATGTTAATATCTCAACATATAGTAAATGAAAAGGCAAGGAACATGGTATCCAATATAATATTTAGGATTTGTGTTTTTTAAGGGAGACAAAAATACATATTTGTGTTAGATTGTACATGAATTTAAAAATATGTAATTTGTAGGAAATAAAATTAAGTAATTGCTGGAAGCCGAGCTATCCCAGCCTGAGTGGCAAGGCCCGGGCTGTGGACGGACTGGTGATTGCAAGGTGGCCCACCAACAGTGAAGCTTCTTGTGCTCCTGCTTTTAGGTAATTTGGCCATAAAACTACCTGGGGTATTGTCTGCTGGGGAATTGGCCTCGACAGGCCCTCTGGGAAAAGAACCATTAGGAAAGAAAATAAGGTTCCGCAAGAAATCGTGCAGCCTTACATTAGCCCTTGCCATCCCCTATGGAGACTCCTCTACTTACAGGAAGGATGGCCTCATACCTTTGCCAGCAAAGAGGACCCGTAAAGGAGAGACATATGGATCTGAAAGCCTCACTCCGGCAACTAAGGAGTGTATCTCTGGGCACAGGTGACTTCAACCCCTAGGCCCACCTGGCCCCCCAGAGGCATTCCAGATGATGACTGAACCTAGTCGGTTAAGGTACAGAATGGTTCATTGGTTCCTAGGTGCATTGTCTCTCTGAGAATGTATGAGGCATGGGTTTCTAAGGCTTTTTCGGCCCCTTCCTGGCACCTTGGACCAAGGCAAACACATTGTTCTTCTGGCCTCATGTGGTTAGGAGGTCATGTCCCTGTAAATGTTCCACTTGAGGTATTGAGAAATGGAGGGCCTTTCATGAGAACAGCAAAGTAAGTGCTTTATAGATTATAGATAAATGCAGATGCATAATGGAATAATGTAAGAAATTAATAATCAAAGGGTATGCGGGAACATTATGAGAAAATCGTCATGTTATTTCTTAAAGGTTGATTACACATAAGAATATTTTTTAAATTAGAAAACATTAGAAAAACATAGATGATGTATGTTACAAGGAAATCACTAGCATATATAATGTCACATTTGCTACAATAAATCAGCCAGATCAACGCACTGATGTTGTCTGTGTCCATTTTTATTTATTTTTTTTACTTCAGTTTTTTATTTTAGTTTTGTTTTATCTTCACCGATGCCGTCCATCCTTCAGGAACCCCTGGACCTGCTGGAGCTGGACTCCAGCAAGTAACCACAAGAGTTACCTCATGAAGGGAGAGGACAGAAACTAATTGGGTGGATATTAGGAGCAAAAAAGAAATCTATTTACTATATTTTTATAATTCTGATGTTTGTATAATGTGAATACATTTTTTATAAAAACAAATGCTTTAAAAGATATAGACAAAATTCTGTTTTAAAAACGAGTATAGCTGAACGTACCATATATAGTATCTCCATATACTACTCTGTCTGGAAGAAATAAGGAGAAGGAGAAGGAGGAGGCAGGGGAGGAGGAAGAGGAAGAGAAGTAAGAACGAGAGAGGAAGGAGAAGAAGAGCAACAAAACAGAAACATACTAAAACTCAGACTAAGGAAAAAGGACTGAAATTAATTGCTAAATTATAAATATGGCAACCCATTACCACCTATTGCTATAATTTGGAGAATTCCCACTAACATGACTGATAAAATCAGACTTAAAAGTAAAATTACTGGCTCATGCATGTTTTGTCCTGAAAGACAATCATCCTAAGAAAAAATAAGCCTTGTATTATATGAGGCACCAGTAAATGTTTAACAAACCATTGTGGGGTGGGAATTGTAGCTCTGTGGCTCTGATTTTAATATTTGCCATTTTTGTTGATGTAAATATTTACATTGTGGCTTATTTCAAGCTAATAACATGACCTTATTCCTTCTCTCTCTTCCTTTGTTTATACAGATACAAGTTTCAGACATTTATCATTTTCTTTCTTTCTTTAAAAGAAATTTCTTTAAAAGTTCTTTTAACATTTCTTGCAAGGCAGATCCATTGGCCACAAATTCCCCACATATTTGTCTCAGAAAGTTATTATTTTCCCTTTACTTTTATAGGATAATTTTTCTGGATACAGAATTTTAGGTTGGTGTTTTTTTTCTTTCAACACTCAATATTCTATTCCACTCTGTTCTTGTTTGCATGGTTTTGGAAATAACGTCCAATGTGGTTCCTACATTAATCCTTCCACAGATTAGGTGTTTCCTCTGTTGGGTCTTTTAAGATTTTCCTTGTCCTTAATTTTATGCAGTGTGAATATGATATTCCTAGGTGTAAATTTTTCTGTATTTACTCTTGCTGTTCTGAGTTTCCTTGATCTGTGGTTTGGTGTCTATCATTAATGTTGAGAAATTCTCAGTCATTATTGCTTGAAACATCCCTTCCATTTCTTTCTTTCTTTGCCATTTGGTATTCCCATCACATATATTTTATACCTTTTATAATTGTCTCACAGTTCTTTGATATTCTGTTCTTTTTCATTCTTCTTTCTCTTTGCATTTAAATAGTAGTTGTGCTATAGTCGTTGTGAAGCCTTTGGTTTTCAAAACAACCACAGGGTTAAGGAAAAATGGGAATGAGATTAGAGCAAGTTAAAGTCCCACTAACCTTGCTGTTCTTGTTAAGATTCAACCATTTTTCTTTGATTATAATTTCCTGGATTATTGCAAAATTGGCGTTAATTTCTAGGATTCTAAAAATATTGATTTTGACAGTTTTTGTCAGTGCTGTCTATTTCTGTAGAGAAGCAGATATTTGGAGGCCCTTAACTCTGCTGTTCCAGAAGTCAAGCTGTCCTTGCATGTTCTTCATTGTCTTTTTTTTTTTTTATAGCAGTTATCAGTTAAATGTTTGGCAAGATCTCATCAGAAGTGAAATTACTGATCATTTGTTCATTGTCACTAATCAATTCCAATTAGAGCTGTCAACTTCCAATTAGGATTTAAGCTACAGGAAAAGGTGCACTGTCTTGTTTACTCTTCCATCTATGAAGAATTATAAACGATCTAAGATTTTACCCTATCTGCCATTTAATGTACTTCATGGAGGTTGGCAGAAGACACAAGGTTCCTGGCTCAGACATTGGACTCTATTAATCACTGCACAAGAAGAGGCATAAACTCATGTACACATCAATTCCCATTGCCTCTCAAATTCCACAGGAACAATGCAGTGTGGCCCCAGGAGATAATGAGTTTTGTATTACAGATGAGGCACATCTAGATTAAAAAATTAAATCTTTAATAATGGACTACAAGCAAACCTGCCCTTTGCCCTGGAGGGAATCGTTATCTTTAAGATTAACAAAACTTTCCTTTGTTCTGGATGGAGGCACTCACTATCTATCTTTGAAGGCTTTTTGCTATATAAACATTTTTGAAAAGACAGTCTAGAACAAAATATGTTACTACCTCTGCTTGTAAGATATGCGGAAACAGAAGAAACCTATGGAGAATTATCTCTCAATATCATGCCAAGCCTAAAATAGTCTCTGACACATTGTAAACATGCAATAAATATTTGTTTAATAAAACCTCCAAGAATTTCTATTTTCATCAATATATTCTATTTCCACAAATAAGGAAAACTGTATATTTTTTAAATTTTGGATATCAAGTCTTGAAAAGGAACTTAGTCAGTTTGGACTGCTATACCAAAGTGCCATAGACTCGGTGGTTTCTAAACAACAGAAATTTATTTCTCACTGTTCTGGAACTAGAAGTCCAAGATCATGGTGTCAGAATGGCAGGGTTCTTGATGAGAGCCCTCTACTGGGTTGTAGACTGCCAACTTCTTTCTGTGTCCTTTCATGGCAGAAAGAGACCTAGGTAGCTCTCTGGCCTCTTATAAGGGCACTAATCCTATTCATGAGGGCTCCATCTCTATGGCCTAATTAGCTCACAAAGGCCCCACTTCCAAATACATTTGGGTATTATATTTCAACATACAAATGGGGGAGGGAGATACAAACATTTAGTCCATCACAAAAACCTACGAATAAAAACTTGTGTGCAAATTTGCTACAATAGAGTGGCAAATGGAAATTATAAAACTTTTGGTTTTTCACATTTATGCACAGAAATGACAAATGAACATTTACCTGTTGATCTCTTGAAGGAGCTCAGTTTTCTCTCCTATTCCTTTCTTGCTTCACTCTGAAAAGGAAGAACTGCTATGTTTGATCCAGGCAAGAACATCTAGTTAAACCATGCAGCCAACGTCTTAATATGGCTGTCTTTTGCAATTCCCAAATCCTAGAAAGGTAGAGAGGTAAAGAATCCTGGAATTCTTTGTGGGAAAATATTGATGCATCTCTTTCTCCCTCTTTCATCTTCTCCTCCTCTCTTCTCTCTCTCCCTCTGACCTCTCTTTTTCCTACTCTCTTTTTCCCTACCCACATGTACATATATGTGTGCACACACACATACACACACACATACATAAACACACGTTGTTCTTTCAGTGTGCTTTTCTCATTTCTAGGAACATGTTCCTCAAATTGAAAAGAGTAGTATTCAATATTAAGTTTTGGCCTTGGAGTAGAAGTAGACACAGTGAAACTTTTGGCTGGATTTTTTTTTTAGGCCTTTTATACCAAAAGCCTCTAGACAACGGAGGTCCATATACAAGTCTAGTTATATTCACTGGCATTCTTTCCTGAGACTTTGAGCCATACTCTTACATTAAGTGTAAAATCTCCTTTGGCCTTGCTTTGTCTTTTGGAAGGCATAGCTAGTTAAGAACAGAAACTAATTTTCAGGGGCCCCAATTCTGTGCAATACCCAGCACACACTAATTTCTTTTCAAGTAGAACAACTATAGAACAGATTGCATCTCAGTTGTTTTCTATTCTACCTCATGATTTTAAAACAAATAGAAAATGCCATAAACCTTATTTGCATAATTTAGTCACATACCAAACATTTATGGTATCCTTTTTCTATATCTGCATAGTTTCATCTTCACAAATATCATGCCATTTTCAGTTACAAATTACTTTATATGTATGTATTATACTGCCTTTCCTTGGTATGTTTAAAATTCATATAATCTTGGTTGTTTATTTTGTTTTGTCATTGAAATGGATTCATTTTGTGTTATTCTGAGAAATATACTTAATCTGTGGACCATTTATATGTCTCCAATATAGCTAGCTACTCTAATGTTTGGAACAGTTTGTCTCACTTGGTAGTTTTATTTTTTTCTCATAAATGTTTAAAGTACTTTATTTAACTCATTGGGATTTCTTCCTTTCGCTTGTGAATGGATTTCCTAGCTGAGTAATATACTTGGGGCAAATTCTAACCTCACAGCTGACAATATTATTTCTTCAAAATTGCACATATTTTCCATATTTCACACAAACCAATTATTTATCATATATATTTATATGTTTATAATTAATTTTAAAGTAGTGGCGTCTTGTCTTAAAAGTCCTCAAAATATCAAAATAAATACTCATTGTAGTATACCATAATATGTCTCATATTTTTACAGTTTTATTCCTCCTGCCTTTGACCTTTTATTCAACTATAAATACATCTCAAACTCCTTAACCAAATCTTGAACAGTAAGAAATTATTAATGATAAAATAAATAATTAAAAAGCAAATTAAAAATGAGATTTTGCTACTCTTCTGTGGAAGGTTTTTTTTTTTCAGTTCTTCCAGAGAAAATTAAAATATTCTAACAAATGCATGCTTGCCTCTACTTAGAAAAGCATTTTTTTCAAAGCATGTATTAGAATGCTGTTCAGTAATTCTGAATTGAATTTCTGATCTTAATATCTCACTCTATCCCAGCTCCCAGATAATAATGGCCCTCAAAAATATTAAAAAATCAATTGTTTATTAGCCATACTAGATTCTTTACTGCAGGTACCTTATATCATTTTTTGTAATTTTTACATGAGTTCTATATTATAATTATTCTCATTTTTCAGATGAAGAAATCAAGAATATGACACTTGTCGTAGATAAACCAAAATTTAAACTCAAGTCTTTCAGTTTCCAAATATATCAATATACCAGGCCACAAATGTCTGTGTATCTCAACTTGGGCCAGAGTCAAAAGGACACTTGAACAATTGTTTTTTGATGTCTAAGTTTTGTCTTGTTTTTGAAAATATGTACATATACTTCCTGTTCTGTTCAAATTCAATTGTCTTTTTCACTTTTAAAAGTTACCAAAGATAGCAAAGGTGAAAAACAATGAAAAATGTACATTGCTTTTAAATTTTCCTTAAATAAAAATATTATTTGTAGCTTGCAAAGAATTTTCACAGTTATTGTGCCTTCTTAGTATTCACAGAGTGCTGGCATTCGCTTTGTCTCAACCTTCTGTTGCATTTCATCCACAATTAAAATCACGATGAAATTGTGGTAGGGCCCACTCCTGTGTCTCTTTCCATCTTAGCCCAAACCAGTAAGCACTGCAGTTTCTTTTCAAAATGTGTTATTAGGTGAGAGATATAATTTGACTTTTCAGATCAAAAGACATACTAAAAAGAGTCAATCTGTGGAGTGTTTTACTGAGCATGCAAACCCTTGGAGTTTTCCTGCCACTTGCTTTGTGTCTTTCTACACATTTCCTTGTATTTCAAATTTTCTTCCTAGATCTTTTATAGTTTATAATCTGTCCCAGGAGCAAGTTTAAATGACAGGCCTCATGGAATATTTTTTAAGATCTAAAGAGGGGAAGGAGGAATACTTTCCAAAGGAAAAAAAAAAGTATTTACTTGGAAAGAGAAATTCTCTAAAGGACATATCCCCCACGCATACTTCTATTTTTTTTACTATTCCTTCAGCACCACTGCGTAGACTTACCAGGCCACATTAAGTGGTGAAAGGAGACTTCAGGAAAAAGCAAAGGAGCAGAGCAGGATGATCTTAAGATGGAGAAGAGAAAGAAGAAACTACATAAAAGCAGTATGACATTCCTGTTAAGTATGAAAAGAGACCCCAACCCAGTAGATATAATACAGATGTTAACAATGGGGACCTTAGGTGGGTCAGCCCTCGGGCACTAAACCCTCTAGGAAAGAAAAAATATTCAAAGGGAAGAGAATCCTTTCTTCTGAGGAAAGATTTCTTTAAAAAAAAGAAAAAATGCACACTCCCTGGAATAAAATATGATTGAAAATGTGATGATCTGATTAAGCCTCCAAGTATACTATAAGTCTATAAAGTTTCCTAAAATGTTGAGTTTATTCTAATTATCACCCAAGTGATAGTTCTTTTATCTTTTAACAAAATACATATTTATTGAGTACCTATAACACTGATAAAGACATTGTTCATAAGGAGTTTACAATGTAGTAGGAAAAATAAACTACGAAATATAAATCTCATGGATAATCGACAGCCAGGTTTTAAGAGAATATACAGAAAGAGAATTTAACCTCAAATGAAAGTCATGAAAAGACAGAGATTCAATGTGTATTTTGAAACTTAAATGATGAAGATGCATTAGCCAATGATTAAATGGTTAAAAAATCATCCAAATTGATGACATAGCCTGGAGAAAGCTCAGGGGTAAGAGAGGTCATTTAAAAACTCAAGACTATAGAGTATTGTTGAAAATGTATGGGAGAAGGAAATGGTAGAGATAGAGGCACTGGATGAGGGTGGAGTAGATGGGATCACAGTGCTTGAGTCCTTTTTCCCAAAATTAAAGAAAAAATTTCAAAGGGTTTAGGCAGTTGAGTGAAATTTAAGTTGTAATGAAGAGAATGAATAATAGAGAAATGGTACTGGAGTCAGGGAGAAAGTGAATGGAGCTGTTACACCTGAGGAAAAAAATGTGAAGGGTATGACAATGGACACAGAGAAGAGTGGACAAATATATATACGGTATAATTATGACAGGTCTTGGGGATTGTTTCAGGGGGAGTTTAGGGGAGGGGAGAAGGGTGAAGAATGACTCTCAGGTTTTTGTTTGGTCAATTGGAGTCCAAATGATGCCATTTACTAAAATAGGACACACAGGGGGAAATAACTGGTTTCAGGCTAAATATGATAATTCTAATTTATTTTTTAGGTTGTCTTTGAGATTCATGGGGAAATCCAACAGGCGATATTCAGTAGGCAATTTTATGCTTGGATCTAGAGTGCAGAAGAAAAAAAAAACTTTGAATGAAGATATACATTTGGCAATAGCATGTAGGTAACAATTCAGTCTTTGAGAGAAAAAAAAGATATGTTTTTATGTTTACTACAAATTCCTACTGCTTCTCTCTCTATGTAGCATTTAACATACTCGATTATTATTCTCTTCTTGCCCGTCACTTATAGCTGATATTACCTCTAATGGCAGGAATAATGTCTTATTCATTTTTGTGCCACCACAATTTAGTACCATATCTGGAACATATTAGACTTCAAGAAATAGTTGTTAAATAGGTAGGTGAATAAATGATTCATTGAATGAATGAATGAAAAAAAAAAACTTCAACTCGAACTCCAAACTTTTTTTAAATTCCAAAAGTTAGGCACATATAGGATCTGAATTACCAGGCATCTTTTCCTAATCTCCATTTATGGTATCCATGATACCTCCATGTTCCCGGCAGAACATAAACTATGGTTCCTACATCTAGCTGCATACTAGATGTAGATACTGGAGTATCCCATTTAATATACATATTCCTGGATATCTCCTCATTCCTGCTGAATCAGAATCTATGAGGATTAAATTTAACAAGTTATTCAGATGATTCTTATGCAATGAGTCTAAAATTGGTCCATCTATTGAAATGACCAACATGAGGAACCAATCATTCTGGTTCTCAAAATTAGAGAAGACATCTTGATTAGCCCCATTATGTCAAAGAAAGAATATGAACAGGTACTTCAAGGATACAAACTTCATGATTAGAATTTGTGTTTTAAGTAGAAAAAAGTTAAGGCAAAACTTTCCAAAATAAAATGGATCACACATTCTCACCAGATGGACTTACTTAGGAAAAAGAAACGTTAAAGAATTGTAACAGTGTCTAACCTGGAAAACAAAATACAGAAATTTTCACCAGTAAGCCATGTGTTTAGTACAACTCTGATTTAGTGTTTGTTACGCCTTACACAAAAGTAACCCATTTTGTAGGAAAACACCTATCTTTCTTCACAGGAAATGCTAGACCACTTTATACTTTTATTCC